TTTACAGAGTGTATTGGTTACAATGCCTTCTTCATGTTTCATAATAATTTCTGCACTGTATATTATCAATATGTGAACTAAATTTCAGAATGACCAATAATTTTAATGTAAAAATGCAAAAATATTCAAGAGACCAACAAACTCGAAGTTCACTCCACTGTAAACAAAGTTAAACTGAGAAGCGTTGTTAGGTGATTCAATCAGCTAATGGGCGCACAAAAACTGTTCTGTCTTTTTACTTTTACTTTTATCCTCTTCGCCACTGATCGGCTTGTTAGCCGCTTGGGCGATCGGTCACGTCTCTTTTCATTTATCTCCTTCACCAAAAGATCGGCTCGCTAGCCGCCCGGGCGATCGGTCACGTCTCTGTCACGCACTGTTGGCAAATACTGGGCATGCACCGGCTCCTGAATGTACCTGAACCTGCTCCAGTGTTGGTCAAGTCTTGTCTTGAAAGAGCTCACACTCGGTGCCCCCACAACACTCTCAGGTAGATTGTTCCAAGAGTTTACAACCCTCACTCCGAAAACGTTTGCCCTCACGGTTTTCTGGACTTGCGGCTTCTTCAATCTTGAGCTGTGACCCCTTGTGGGGCGAGCGTCCGCCAGCTCCAAGTAAGGACACTCGGTATTATTTTCTTGTTACACCGTTCATTCCTACCACTAATCTATTATCATGTTCGAATAAGACGTCTAATTATAAGATAATTTTCATCTATTACATTACCGGTGGAAATGTATAATAACGGAGATAGCTCTTCCAAAATATTTTCTATGTTCTTCCATTAACATCCCGCCATTATCGTCTGCCTCTCCTCCAACACTGCGTGTCTCCTGCGTCTCCTTCATAAATCATCCTGCGCATGCGTTGCTGTACACGTCACTCGGCCAATCAAAAGCCTTTTTTATTTTGAAACCAATTAAAATGTTTTTGTGTTTAATTCGCGGAAATTTTGGCCCAATCAAATTCGAGTATTCTTTTTGGTCTCTAATATTTTGAAATTCAAGTTCAGTTCTGACCAAGGAAGTCTGCGATGGGTGTCACTTAAAGTATATGGAGCTGATTGCGAGTTTTTGGAAAAAAACGAAGAAACTATAGCATTTTTTCGATCGCATGGTGTTCTTCCAACCTCAGGTAAGTGTACTAAGAGCAAGACTGAATGTAAATATCACAAAGACCAACACATGTGGCATTGTGTAAGAATCCCAGAATGCAACGACGAACAAGAACCAGGCCAATAAGGTAAGAAATAGGTGATTCCATCATATGGTGTGAGTCAGTTAGGTTAAGTTAGGTTAGGTTAGGTTTGGTTATTGTTTTTCTAGTGTATTTTTGTGTATTTTTTAGCCGCTTAGCCACTTTTTTTTCTCGGAAACGTCAAACAAAAAAAATCGTAAAAAAAACCCGGCTAATTTCCGCCAAAAAGGAAGGTCATATTCGGTCTCAGCACACACAAATACACAAGAAAAATATATTTTTAACTTGCTACAAAAGAATGGTGTGACAAGAAAAATTTAACGTTCTGTCTATATTATCAATGTGTTAACTAAATTTCAGAACGACCAATAATTTTAATATAAAAAATGCAGAAATATTCAAGAGCACAACATTCTTGATATTTACACCAATGGAAACAAATGTAAACATAGAGCTGATTACTGTATTGGCAGACTGGCCGATCAGTTGATGCACACAACAAAACATGTTTCTCGTAAGGTTTTCGTTAATCAAACTGAAAATCCTTATGGGAGCTAATTCATGAACCGAAATTTCGTTATTTGGACCGTTCGTTAATCGAGGGACCACTGTATATTAGATGTATGAATATTATGCTGAGGAAGATAAAACATGTATCAGATGTATGAATATTACGCTGAGGAAGATAAAACATGTATTAGATGTATGAATATTATGTTGAGGAAGATAAAACATGTACAGTAGTACCCCGCTTAACGCAGTCAATAAAACCCACAGGGTACCGTGTTAAGTGAAAACCGCGCTAAGTGAACAACAGAACATATGGGATTAATTCCAATAGAAACTGGCCCGACCCCCAAACTCCACTTTTTGACGACACATAACTATTTTGTAGTAAAAATTTTATCTTAACTTTATGATGGTATGAAAAAACAAGTACTGTAATATAGAAGAGGTTAGGTTAGGAAAAATAAAGGTTAAGTTAGGAAAACTAAAAATTATGTTGAACACTTACGTTGGTAGAAGAGATGGGTCAGCGTACGGGGATGGGGGCTGGTTCCGAGGCAGAGGGCAGGCTACTGGCCCTCAGGTGAGTCACCATCACTGTCATCCACACTTGTTATGGCCTCCCTCACAAATCCCACAAAGTCATCTTCACTGTCTCTACTACTGTCACTATCACTGGCTTGGGCTGGCTGTGGTGGGTTGCGGGCGAAGAACTCGGTTATGCTTTTTTGACGGCTGGTGTTTATGTTGTCTTGATACACCGTGATGTACGGCTCCATAGCCTGCACCAGCCGGGTATGGAAGACTTCATAGCGGTCATCGTCATTGTCGCGGGAAAGGAAGGACTTCATTTTCTCTGCACACTCCATGGCACCCTTAATATCACTATGAGTTAAACTGTGTTCTTCGGAGAATGACGCACCTTCTTCCTCCTCTTCACTGACGTGATCTTCTTCCAACATCTCGTCGGCAGTCACTTCAGGATCTCTGATCACCTCCAGGATGTCTTCGTTGGTGGTCTCGGAGAAGCCTTCAGCTGTAATATTGAGCGCAGCTTCTCTGGCAAGGTCCACTGCTACTGCAACAGTCTGAACCTCACCAGTCACAGGTTCACTCCTCCTCTCACCTGGTATGCCATGCAACACATGTCTCCATGCGTGACGAATCGTAGCAATAGACAGCTGATCCCATGCCTCCACCAAGAAGTCTACAGCTTGTTTGACGTTAAACTTCTTCCAAAATTGTTTGACGAGAACTTCTTGAGTCGCCACCTCTTGTTCCTTGTCCTCGTCGCTTTTACTCTCGCTGTCGGTGTCACCCAGCTTACGCAACTCATCCTTGGTGTTGGTAGAGTCGTTCAGGAGCTTGAACTTCTTTGCAGAGTACGCAGCTTTCACATTGCAGATCAACTCCTGGTCCATGGGCTGGATTAATGACATAGTGTTGGGAGGAAGGAAGACCACTTTTACGTTGGGGTGACGATCCATAAGTAGGGGCGAGTGTCCAGGTGCGTTGTCAAGGAGCAACAAAATGTTGAATGGAACATTCTGTTGCTCGCAGAATTTCTTCACGTCGGGAACAAAACAGTCGTCAAACCAGAAGAGGGACAGAGAAGAGGACATCCACGCCTTACGTGCGGTTAGCCAGTGGACATTAAGCTTGTTCATGTCCATATTCTTGTAGGCGTGCGGCTTGCGGGCTGTGTGAATCACCGATAACTTTGGTTTACAGGTACCGGAGGCATTGGTGGTAAACAGGACGGTGATGCGTTCCTTCTGCATCTTCCGGCCCCGAATCTTGCTGGCATTCTTTACAACAAAGGTCTTGGACGGTAGCTTTTTCCAGAAAAGACCAGATTCGTCCATGTTAAACACCTGGTCGTCGGTGTACTGTCCTTCCTCCATAATCTCACGTAAGAACGGAGGAAAATCTCTAGCCGCCACACGGTCAGCACTCGCTTCCTCACCACCAATGTTGATGTTGGTGATCTTGTTCCTCTTCTTAAACCTATGCAGCCAACCAGAGGAAGCATTGAAGGGTTTGGGCTCTGCAATTCCCAGCTTACGTGACACTGCTGCGTATAGCTCACGTGCGTATTCCTGCACTGAGTGCGTGTCCATCGCCATGTTGCTTCGCGCCTGATGAATCAAATAACTCACCAGCAAATTTTCCACTTTTGCCAGCACCCTGTTCTGGCAATACCTGATCATTGAAGCACCTGCATACTTTGTGATTTTCATGTGCTCTTTGATCTTGGCTGCATCCTTCTTGATAGTCCGAATCGTAGATTCGTTGACGCCATGCTGGCACGCGAGATCAACTTGCCGTGTTCCTTTCTCCAAATCTTGAATGATCTGGTACTTCACTTCGTAGCTTAGACCACGACGTGTCTTCTTGGGCTTAGGGTGGCTGGGTCCAGGTAAGGAAAGGTCTCTCTCTGGTGGCGGTGGTGGTCCGGCGGAAGCCATTTCACAGAACAATGGGTTCACGTATACACGGAGCGGCCTGGAGGGATGAAACTGCCGCGGCTAGGTCAAGCGTCGTCTTTCCTCCTTCCCTCCCTCCCCCGGGTGGACACGTCATAATACTTTAAGCCAATTACAGCTAGCAGCAGAGGGGGGTAGGGATGCATGGCCAATCACAGTCCGATACGTCATATGACGTCAGTGATAACGCAACAAAGACACACACTGCGCAACCTTACCGCACGGCTTGCCCAAGCGGAGGGAGGAGGCGGGAGCAGGCGGGTGGGGCGAATCTAAAAATAGAGTCTCGAGCCGGACACTCACCGCATATACGTGGAAAAAACCCGCGTTAAGTGAAAGTTCGGCTCTGGCGAGGCACCGCGTATACGGTAAAACGCGCTAAGCGAAACCGCGTTAAGCGGGGTAATACTGTATTAGATGTATGAATATTATGTTGAGGAAGATAAATCGTGTATTAGATGTATGAATATTATGTTGAGGAAGATAAAACATGTATTAGATGTATGAGTATTATGTTGAGGAAGATAAAACATGTATTAGATGTATGAATATTATGTTGAGGAAGATATAACATGTATTAGATATATGAATATTATGTTGAAGAAGATAAAACATGTAATAGATATATGAATATTATACTGAGGAAAGATAAAATCAGATGTAGAGAACTATGAGATAAAAGACTCGCCTGAATCTACTAAGGTTGGTTGACTCTGAGACACTGACTAGTGAAGGATCAGTAAGGTAAATGGAGTCTAGTTCTAGATTTAAAAAATTAATAGGTTTATTAAATGCAAATTGTTTACAAACCTTGATCCAAGAAAGAAGATCATATTGGTGGGCATAGTCCTCTAGATACTTGAGAACAGCTGTATGATGCACAAAGGATTCACCCTCTTCTGGGAAGGCAAAGTCTGGAAAAGCCATCATCATCTTTGGCAAGTCAGTCCTACAATGAATACCAAGGCTTTTGTTATGAATACGAAATACACAATAGCTCAATCTCAGACTTAGTGTTACCACCACAGTAAGATAAACTACATCAGAGAGAGAAAGAGAGGGGTAGCCACAGTAAGATAAACTAAAAGAGAGAGAGAGAGAAAGGGAGAGAGGAGAGACAGAGTGTTGACAACCAACTATGCTGAGGTGTTAAATGGGCGCGCAGGCCACATGTTACTAAGCGAAATTGAGCTGGTAGCAGCTGTGTGAGTGTCTGAGGGACAGTCTATCGCCTTCTACTGTAAAGGCAACATCTGGATTCTTGTCAGCCAAAATTACCAGCAGGACTTTAGATTTGTTCTTGTTGATCTAACCCTAGACCCCAAAACATGAGTGTGATTGTGAACTGTTGAATCCTCTGAGAACTCTAAATAACTTTAATAAGTGTAATTATGTACTGTATAGTGATCGTATTATTCAAACTGTGTCCTGATGTACCAGCAGTTGTTATATGTGAACTGTATTCAACAGGCTTTGACAGAATTATACTCATTGTGTCAACGAAAAGGGTCTTATTGTCCTGCACAAACCAAAATCTCTCATAGCAGTCAAAATGTGGGTCCTACAGTCTGCTGATACAGTCTACTGAGAACTGGCGAGTGACGTCGATGGACCTTCAGGGGGCCCTTTCCCTCCGGCACCCGACACACCCTGCAGCTACGCAGCAGGAGAGCCGCCCCGGCCCTTTGTGTGAATTTGTGAATTGAATTGAATTGAAACAGTTTATTTAGCCAGAAAAACACAGATACAGAGTGGATAATAATAACAATATTAACATGGCTGAGCCAGTTGAGAACCTGAGCTTTCTTTTAGGCACCTGATATATACTATACATTTATCTATAATATTATAATAGGTAACCCCAGCGAAAAGAGGGTTGTGGGTTGAATACGTGTATAGCACGTGTATAGCACTCGTATACAGTATGTATGTAGAGAAACGAGACGCCTCTGTAGGTCAGAAAGGACTGGTCTCTGTGCCAAAATTGTTCGTACAGGCGCGCGGAAGTGTTATCGTTCATTCCAGACAGGCACGCCGTCTGCCGCGTGTCAGGAAAGAGAACGGACTCTGTGTCAATAATATTCGTGCGAACATGTGGGAGAGATAGTGATCAAAGCGTAAGTAGTGGGGCCCTATACAGGTTGAGAATACGAAATAGAATACATTCAATGGAATATATCTATTTCAGTATATTGGGATGAGCCAGTTTACAATAAATACAAGCAAGGGCGCTGCAGTAGTGTTTGTGACATCAGTTGTGTAATGAGTCCCTACATTGATTGTGGAGTCTCTGTGGTCGTGTTAAGTGTGACATCACTCGTGAGTATGGCACGTCACGTATTTGAGGGATATCACTCGTGCGTATGGCACGCGCTTGTGCGACGTCACTCGTGTGTATGGCACTGTTTGTGTGACGTCATTCGTGTGTATGACACTGTGTGACGTCACGCGTACGTATGGCACACGTGAGTGTGTCACTCGTGCATATGGCAATGTTTGTGTGAAGTCACTCGTGTGTGTGGCATTGTTTGTGTGACGTCATTCGTGTGTATGACACTGCGTGATGTCACGTGCACATATGGCACACGTGAGTGTGTCACTTGTGCATATGGCACTGTTTGTGTGAAGTCACTCGTGTGTATGGCACTGTGACGTCACTCGTGTGCATGGGACGAGTCGGTGTGACATCTCCAATTGTGTGATATCAGCGATCGTGGGACGTCACCATGAGTAGTAGCTGATACTAAGTGTTACTGCATACATTTATCGAGCAAGACAGATCACGTTCGTTGTTCTGGCAGTCATGGACATGGAAGGGAATGAGTCAAAATGAGACACTGTCGCATCACACCCACGACTGCTAAGGCAGCGTGAGATAAACATGACTCCCGAGAAGAGAAGAAACCACCAGACGGAGGGATTAAGGGGCAATTATGTGAGCAATACCAATAGAAGCAGCAGATCTTCACTCACATGACAGAGATGATGCAGAACGTCACCGAAGGTATGAATCGACTACAAAGTAAGGGCAGCACAGAACTAAGTGATAGCAAAGCCAACCTCCAGAAGGAGGACCTCAAAAGAATAACTCAGGAACCCATAGCCACTGGGACACTGGCCGATGCAGCATCATACTTCACAGACGGCTCGGTGGACCAAAACATCATAGATCCGGAGCAGCCTTCTACACACAAGGTCAGACCCTCCTATGGAGACTTTCTAATGACTGCTCCACCCTACAAACAGAGTTAGTAGCAATCTCAAAGGCCCAAACAAACCACATTCACCACCTTCTCCGGGTCATCACACGATACCCACCACCCAGATAGCTTAGGAAGTATCCTCCCCAGCAAGTGCAGACCCCAGTTCGGGGGGCGCTCCACTCCGAAACTGACGACGTCCAAGAGTGGGGGGTTGGTGGTAAGCGTTCACTGATTGGGGGTCCGCTTACACTTGCAAACCTGCAGTATCCTTTCATACCTGCAGGTAGGATAACCTCCATCCCCAATCCCAAATCCGGCCTGGCTGCTCCAAGAGCTCCAGCCGGAACCACCAAACAGGCCGCCTACAGGCAAAGGCCCGTGTCGGACTACGGTCCGACAATCACAACAACAATGACAACAGAAGATCGCGGAAAGGTGTTATCACTGCCAGACACAACCTTCCTGAAACCGAAACTGACGAAGAAACGCTATATACTCCAAGAGGACTCCTGACACTAACCTTAACCGCGGAGCCGGGAACATTTCACCAGGAGGAGCACGGAAGTACTTCCGAGCATCAAGCTCACTCGCCGAAACCACTAACGTTGATGAAGGACCAAAAGGACGACCCGCCAAGGTCCGAGGGCTGGGTGAGAAAACTGTTAGAAATTATAAGGTTCTCCCAAAGGCCTACGCCGAAGTTAAGCGGAAGAGCTTGTGGTGAATACTGGGAGTTCAAGGGACTCTTCCTACGACACGTTGGGATGACGTGGATACTTGATGCTTTGAAATTAGAGACACTTTTCGTCGCCTTCGCCAGCTCCGCTAAGGACGCTTTGCGAGGATGCCTGCAAATACAAGATCCCAAAGCATGGTACTTGGAAGCTTTGGACATATTAGAAAAACATCAGGCAACAAGCACACTTACGTCTGTCAGCTAATAAGGTCCAACTGTGAGACTAAATGACGCGAAAGGCCCACAATAGTTCTCAGACAAACTGGAGAATTGCATAAGGAACTTGAAGGTTCTGGGAGAACTACTTCAGATTGACAAGTATGAATCAATACATATGTTAGCTGAGAGATTCAAGGGAAAGATAAGGGACGACTATGTGGATAAGGTGCATAAATACAAAAGGAAGCAAGGGAAGCCTCCTGGGATCGAGTGGATGTTGGAATTCACTATGGATATGGTCAACAAGGCGGAGGAGGCCCCAAAGGGACAAGGACCGGAGGAACCAAGCTGAATATATGCAGACTCACCCTCAAGCCAATCCTCGTCGAGAAAGAAACTTGTGGGTCTGGTGACATCAGGAATAAAGACAACCAGAGAAACAGACGATGAACGCTGCATGTTATGCCGCGGAGTTGTACCGGACACTCCTCAGCATGTCAACACGGAAGGGAACTTCCCTCGTAAGGGAAGAACGTTGCTGCTTCGCCAGCCTGGTCGTAATCACCGGAAGATGGAATGTGGTATAGATGGCTGCTCTGGAGTACACTTGAGGCTTCTACACTTCACGGGAGTTCTGAAAAAGCCGTGTCAAGGTGCAACGGGGCAAAGTTGAAAGAGGAGAACACCAGACCAATTTCCAAAGGGTGAAAAGAGCAATCACTGGGGACACTTACCAAACAGACATATCACCTGACCACAAGCGACCAAGAATGAGTTAACTTAAGGCCTTTATGCCACCACCGGAATCGGCAACTAGTGGAGCTAAATCATGAAAGACGGAAGCTAGTACAAGCACCATGGGGAAAAGGACTGGGAGTACACAAAGCGTGCTGGTGACCACGAATAGAAGAAACCCGCATAGATGGGTCAGGGAAACCATAACCAACAATGGAATTGATGATCGGAGTGAAGAACCCAATGATTACGAGTTGTGATTACAAGAGTCCAGCAGAGTTGCACATCCAATAGTGAAATTCAGGATGGAGAAGAAGAACCAAGAGGCGAAGGAGCGGTGGTCACAGGAGCTCTCTTGATTAGGTTAGTCTAGTTAACCGGCTGCAGGCAGAGGGAAGGCCAGATTTTTCCCTCTCCATTGGCACGATCATGAAAGAAAGTAGTAGTGTAAACACCGAAGAAATCAGTGAAAAGGTGGTTAGCGTGAAAAAAAAGAAAAAAAGGAGCTTATCCATCACTATCCCCAAGGTCATTGTTGTTTCACCAGGAAGAACCAGAACTCCCAGACAATAAGAAGCTTGTCGAACAGCGATTGGCGGGACTGAGAAAATGCCTCCTAAAGAACCCAGGGCTCTCTCAGAGGTATCAAGAAGAGATGAGACGTCTAGTCGACGAGGGACATGCTGAGCAAGTACCACGTCAAGAACTCAGTGTTGCACCCGGGAAGACCTGGTATCTCCCACACCACCCCGTGTTGAATCCCAACAAGCCAGAAAAGGTGAGAATAGTTTTTGATTGCGCAGCCAAATATGAGTTGATGTCATTAAACAGCCAGGTGATGCAAGGGCCAGACCTTCACAGCAATTTGATGGGAGTCCTCATCAGATTCAAACAAGGAAAGGTGGCACTCATGGCTGACATCGACGACATCAAGAAAGCAAATCGTAACTTCTACGTTGACGACCTGCTTCTCTCAGTAGATTGTAGATTAACCGGGGAAGGCAACGATAATCACCCATTGACTGAGACAGCTGAGGAAGAAGGGCGGATTCAGACTTACGAAGTGGGTCTGTAATAACAAGGAAGTCCTCAAGGCAATTCCACAGACAGAGAAAG